CCTTGGTGTCCCTGTCTGTCCCCCTTGGTGCCCTGTCCCCCTGTCTGTCCCCCTTGGTGCCCTGTCCCCCTGTCTGTCCCCCATTCCTGCCCTGGGGACAGGACAGTGGCTCCCCTGTCTCCTGCACTCTGTACCTTCTCTCCAGGCTGTGCAGGAGCCACGTGAGCAGGCTGTGATCCTGCACCAGCTCATAGGCAGCTCTGGTGACACGGGCAGCACTCTGCAAGATCTCCAGGATGCGACGCTGAAACAGAAAACACAATTTGTGTTTTACAGTCAGGATCTAATGATGTAATTTTAAATTAGCAATCTGGCTGGTACCCGATCAACTTAATGGTAAAATGACCACCAGCTCTTCTCAGCAGCTGCAGGGAAGGACAGACATTCTCCCTTCACAGCTTCACACCGCAGGTGCTGCTCTTACAGAAGCATTCAGGCAGCAAGACAAGTTTATCTTTTTGCCTGAGGTTTGATCCCTGACACACTCAGGGTGGATGCTCCCAAACCTGAGAGCTCCTGGCACGTGGGTTTCCCTTCTGCTGAAGCCTGCTCAGGTAACAAATGCACTGGCTGGGGAATAGAGACCCCAAAAAAGGAAAAGGCGCCGACTGCAGGAGCAAAACCAGGGCACCCACGTGAGGCTCCATGAAGGCAGGAACCCGTTCCAGTTTCAGGGATGAGGGTGGCACTGGTTTAGACACAAGCAATTATTGGCCCCTCTACACATACACAAAACCAACAAGGAACAGATTTTCAAGTGAGCCAAGGCAGAGTCAGCTGCTCCTTTCTGGTTTGTACTCGGGATCTCAAAGCCACGCAAACCTCTGCGGTTTAGGGGTTTGGGAACTTTCTTTTTTAATTCTTACCTGGGAGCCCTCGTCACACAAAGGACTGTTGAAGAAGGACAGAATGACCTGGAAAATCCTCTGGTAGTCATAGAGCTCATAGCAGTGTTTGTCACGCAGCCCTTCCCCAAGGAACCTGAGGATCCACTCCCGCTCTGTTTTGTACTGGAGCCACAAAGAGAAACACCACCCTCAGGCATTCAGACATTTCCAAAGAAAACCTGTTCCCAAGAGCACAAAACCCTGAGCACAGAACCCTGGTTCCCTCTGAATGCCAGCTCAAAGCTCACTGCAGCTTGTTCTGGACCTCTCCTTTCCCATTCCTATCAAATTTAATCACTAACATCCACTGGGAACAGTCAGGCTGCAGCCCAAACATGCAGTGGAAATGGAATTTTAGAAGTTGCTGTTCCTGAAACACTTCAGTTGAACTCAACGTTACTAATCTAAACTCAAAGAGGAATTGCAGCTAGCTGGGGCAGAATATTCTGTTTATTGTGCTCACAGAGCACACACAGCACAACTCACTGTGTGTTGGTATTAAGAAAGAAACAAAAACCCCATAGAAACAACATTTTTCATTCCAATATGAAACATAAGAAAGATAATAAATAAATAATTAACTACCTATGGGAGAATGAGATGTCATTGTATTTCTATGGCTGTTTTTAGTACATTTCTGAAGAATTAATTACTGGATACCTAAAATGGGACTCTTACCTCAAAATCAAAACTGTAGAAAAGCTGGAAAAAGCCTGGTACCTTCCTCAGGTCCAAATACTGGTGTGACAGCAGGAATCTGTTCACCTTTATGTACATGTGGTCCTCTGTGAAGGGAAAAGCTGGTTAATAAAGCTGCATTGGAGGAGGACAAGGCTCCCAGTGCACAACCAGGGACCACAATCCGTGGAAGCTGCAGCGCGTGTGCAGAGCTCCAGGCTGGAGAACAGCCCAGAAGTGCACAGGGCCTTTGCTCCGAGCCTCCCCTTCCCTCCCCAGAACTGCAGCTCAGTCAGCAGAGCACGGAGCAGCTGAGGAGATCAGCACTCCCCAGGTGAGCCCTGCTGCTCACCCAGCAAGTCCCAGTACCTGGCCTCAGGATCTGCTGTGCCACACGGGCAATGTAGAGGCTCAGGGAGAAGGTGAGCCTGAGGTTGGGCTGCCTGATTCCGTTCTGCACGGCGTCCAAGAGATACAGCAACTGCAAGAGCCCAGGGAGAGAGGCTGAGGCACAGCCCCAGTGAACACAACAGGAGAACAAGGCACCAACCAGCTTCTGGGACGCTGCATGGGCCATACAGGCCAAATATCAATTCCATCAGGATTGCCAGTCCTGCATACAAAACTCCCAAGAATTTCTACAACGTGTTTTCCCCTTTCTCTGTCCATGGTTATAGCAGGAGGAAACCCAAAGCAATAGAGGAGAAACAATGGGAGAGAGGATAGAAGGCTTCTTTTAGCTGTCTCCCCACATGCATGTGGGTGGATGAGCAAGGCAGCATCTCCCCCACACATGTCCATGATGTACCACATGTTACCTGGCACCCTGGCACTGCTCATCTAGCTCTGCTCCCCAGAGCCCAGCCTGGCACTGCTCACCTGGCTCTGCTCCCCAGAGCCCAGCCTGGCACTGCTCACCTGGCTCTGCTCCCCAGAGCCCGCTCTGGCACTGCTCACCTGGCTCTGCTCCCCAGAGCCCAGCCTNATGTGCTGGGAGGGACACAGGCCCCGTGCAACAAACCCCTCTTGCTATTTCTCCTGGTATAAAACGCTTCCAGGGCTGGGATTCCCTCCCTGAGGGCCTCTCCTTAAAGACCTTGCAGGATTAGGCAGTGACCATTCAGGCTTCCTGCCCTGTGCTTGTGTAGCAGGAGCCACGTTCAGTTTTCTGCACAGGTCTGGGCACCAGGACACTCCAGAGGCTTTTCCCTCCCTCATGCCCACTGTCAGGAGGCTCCCAAGGCCTTGAACAAAGTGGCACTCAGACCCTCTCTCTGAAAGCAGAAATGAGTCAGATGACATACCTGCAGCAGGGAGGGCAAATCACCTTGCTGTGTTTAATTTCTGCCGTGCCACATGACAGAACCCTCTGCTGTGCCCACAGACTCCATCGTCATCGCCTTCTGGGTCGGCCTCGCTGCCTTTGTGATGTTCCTTTTCCTTGTTCTGCTCTGCATGTCCTGCTCTGGATCGACACCAGCCAAGTGAGTACAACCACAGATAAAGCAAGAAGAACCAGAGATAAAGCAAGTAGATACCAGTGTGAAAAAATAACCTGTGGGAAACACTCAGTGCCTCGAGTGATGCAGCAGTGACACGTTTGTAACTGCACAGAGGTGAAGCTTTTCCTGTCAGTGTTTGGCTGGAGCATCTCTTGACCCACTGCTCCTCCTTTTCAGGAAAATTCAGCCCAGCAGGCTGGGCAGAGATTCAGGATTAGGTCACAAGCAAGCAGAGGGAAGCAGCAGTCAGAGGGAGCGCTAATATTCCCATTTATTGGCACCCTAGGGCCTCTGGCATGCTCACAAAAGGTAACAAAAACAATTAAAAAAAGGCAGTTCACCCAAATAAACCACAAAGCAGGAGGTGGATTAACAACACAACAGACATGGAAATGGACATTAAATGGCAGGGTAACACAGGCATGTTACCAGCAATTTACTGTTCCTAAAAAACTGGCAGGAGAACTCTGCGTGCATGAAAATCTCAGAGCATTTGCAAGACTTAAACAAAGTATTGATTTTTAAAGTTTTTTCACTTTTTCATCATGTTACTGAGCAAAATACTTGGCTCAAAAATACACACATTTATCCCTCATGCATTCAATTTTGGAAATCAAAGGAGCCATTGTGAACAAGGCAAGTCTAGAAATGTTTTCTGGAGTGCCCAGAAATCATTAATGAAACCCAGCATTCAATGAGATTTGTTTAGGCTTTGAAACCATCCCATGTTATCATTTTCCTAGGCTTGAAACACTGTGAGAAAACAGTTTTAGGACTGAAGAAACTATTAAACCCAGTCACACACAAAACTTGCCCTTTTGGGCCGAGTTCTGTTTGTTTTCTCAGCCCCACTTCAATTCCACTCCCCCCAGTTCCAGCACCAAAACCCAGCGTGGTGCTGGAAAGAAGCCACCAGTGTGAACCTGCACCCCTGCCCTGCCACCTCTCTGCTGTGTCACCCAGCCCTGCCCTTGGCATGACAACCACCAGTGTCTGTCAGGAACCTCCTGTCCCTTTCCTGGTGATAATCCCGATGTATTCACGCAGCAAACACCCGCTCACGTCACTGCTCAAGGCTGGAGAGCTTTCACCTTCATCCCTTCTGTGCTCATCCATCTCTGCCAGCCCAGGGACACCAGGGCCCCTGTGCTCTCCCAGATCACCCACGTCCTCCCTCAGCACCTGCCAGGGAACATTCCTCATTCCCAATCTCCCATCCATCCCTGCCCTCTGGCACTGGGAGCCATTCCCTGTGCCCTGTCCCTCCATCCCTTGTCCCCAGTCCCTCTGCAGCTCTCCTGGAGCCCCTTCAGGCCCTGCCAGGGCTCTGAGCTCTCCCTGGAGCTGCTCCTCTCCAGGTGAGCACCCCCAGCTCTGCCAGCCTGGCTCCAGCCCTGCAACAGCTCTGGGGCCTCCTCTGGGCTTGTTCCAACAGCTCCACATATTTCTTGTGCTGGACCCCAGAGCTGGGGCAGCTCTGCAGGTGGGGTCTCACCTCAGTGGGGGAGAGGGGCAGAATCCCCCCAGCTCATTTGATGCAGAGTTGAAGCCATTTTGGCCGTGCAGGACACCCCTCTCCTGCCCCAGGGGGTAACACCAAGGGTGAACTCCCTTGGCAAGAGCTCAGTGCTCTCCAGAGCTGAGTGCCTGCTGAATCCCTTACCTGCACATCTGCACAGAAACAATCACTGACAAGTGTCCCCTGCAGGCCTGTGCCACAGCTGAATCCTGAGACACAGAGAGCTCCTGGACTGGAATCCACGATCCAATTACAGCACACACTTCCCTGCAGTCCCCAGTGAGGTGCTGCAGTTTTGGTGGGTGGCTTTGGCAGAGTGGGGAGGGCTGATGCCTGTACAAGCCCTGCAGGGAGGGATCCACGTCCCAGTCCCTTTTGTCAGCACTGCACCATCCCACAGAAATAAGACAAAAGGGACCACAGATCCCAAACCCATCTGCTGCCAAGGCAGCTGATGGTCACTCTGCTGGGACACAGAGCATTAACGTTTGCCTCAATGATGTGTGTTAACATCCACAATGAAAGGCTTTTTCAGCTCTTTCTTATCTCAGCTTTAGTTCTGTGATTCTGCCTGGGCCCAGGTCAGTTCCCCAGCTGATTTTAAGATATGGATAGCTAGCTGGTGCTATTTGGCTGCTGGATAGACAGGAAACAAAACATCCTGTTTTGGTAAGAATTTTTCTTTGGTCTTCCTTCTGTAAAACAAAGAGGAACGATGCCTTGAATACACCTTCAGCATAGCAAAGAGAATTCCAACCCTGCCTCCCTGTGCCGGGCCTGCTGCCGAGACTTTGGGGCTTGTTTCTGCTTTTTGAATTACTCAGCTCGGTTCGGCTGAGCTCGGCTCGGTTCGTCTGAGCTCGCTCGGTTCGTCTGAGCTCGGTACAGCTCTCTCCGTTCGGCTGAGCTCGGCTGGGTTCGGCCGAACTCGGAGCCGCTCTGAGCGTTCGGCTGAGCTCGGTTCGTTTCGGCCGAACTCGGAGCC